ACGAAGTCGCGGGTGCATGTAGTAAAATATGTAAATTATATAGAATAGTCTTAAGCTAAGCAGAGCTTGTGTATTAACACATTATTGTTAATAATAATAATAATCTTTATTCATCATAATACAGAATATAGAAAAATATAAAAAACTTAAAAACTAATATCACGCAATGAGCTGAAAGGACCTCCAATCAGCTGGTGCCGCAGCGTGTCACTGCCGCCCTGATTTTTATATCTAGACCATTTGGTCTAGTCTAGACAATTGATTTAAATACATAAAAACATTTCAATCGCTGGAAGGCATTGGATGCGAGCAGCGCAGGATCGTCGTGGAGATCTTTGGGGGAGGCCTATGTCTAGCAGTGGACGTCTTCCGGGCTGCGATGATGGTGATGATGATACATTTCAATTGTAAATACATAACATAATATACATAGGAAACGCCCAGACCTAGGCGCTGTGTGAACTGTTCCACGTTATTATTATTATTGTAAGTTTTATTTTCACAGTTTATTATTATTATTATCACAGATAATATATGTTATATACTATACGGGTCTTAGCCAATTGCGGGAGAGGTTGCACTGTGTGAAGATGTTATTGAGAAAGTCCGGCTTTTTATAAGAGATATAATAATATCAGAGTCACATTCAGCGTTACTACATTTTAAAAATTATATTTTAAGTTGTTGTTTTTAAAAAATATTTTAATTAAATTAAAAATATATTAACTAAGAATATTTAAAGCTGAATAAATGTCTTATATAAAAGACGGTTATTATTATTATTATTATTATTATTAATAATAATAATAATATCCCGCCGTCTCCGTATAGGACTCCTACTTGTAACTCACTGACAGCGCCATCATTAACGCAAATATTATATATTAATTGAAATAGTTATGAAGACTAGATAACTGATACGTTTATTTTTATTTATACATTTTTTTTGAAGTAATATTATACATATTATACATAAAAACAACGTAATTGTACGCTAACAGATATGAGTGACCGATACAAACAATCATACTCATGACTACAAATGTTTGTGCCGTGCGAGGAAACAAACCCGCGACCATCGGTCGTAAAGCGGTGTCTAACCGCTATACCATCGAGGTCATCTAATGTAATATGTTTTACTAGGGTGAATATTTTGTGTTTGCAGACTATTTTCAAGTGTTTTGAGTACAATACCATATTTATGGTATTATTATTAATATTACTACAGTAATAATCCTTTGCAAAATAGCTTACTATAAAATTGATGAATTCCTTAACGATAATAATGTTTTTATAGAAAAACTTTAAATCCATAGTACTGACAATATTATCTAATTACACTAATAATGAGTGCGTAGCGATTTCTATGTTGATTATCGCATGCCTCTATCTATTAAAAAGAGTAACACACAAGTTTCTTGCTCGTTCTTCTTGTGATGAATCTGCATTCCGAATTAGTGGTAGAATCAAAATATGACTATTCAAAAGTGCTTGTAATGAGTTTATGTGAATAAAGATTATTTCTATTTCTATTTCTAATACGAGGCGATCGCTAGTTAAGGTACAACCTGTTCGATCACTGTCGTCGAGGGTTGAATTAAATTTTCAACCCGTGTTGCTATTCCTTCAACACCCCTTTATAGAACTGACAGAAGGGTCCGGGGTTCGATTTTATTAGAATACTTGCGGTGGCATCGCGAATCGAGAATTCGAATTTGAGAAGTTTAATTTTGTTGTTTTTTTTAAGAGGAAGGGAGGGTTAATGGCGTTGTTGAAATGGGTTTATTGATGTTTGGTCGGACAGTTTCCTTCTTTCTTTTTTAGGGGCGTTTAATTTATATTATTTACTAATATTTCTAGTAACATTGTGTTCACAAATTTCAAATTTCTTCTTCTAGATTATTTCGACACCAAACACCAAGTCGCTGGTTCGAATCCTCCGCACATTTATATCCATTATTGTTTTTGATTGTATGTTATAATAATTTGAATCGATTTGGGTGTTTTAAGTATATTAAGTTTGTATTTACAAAATAAATCTATGCATTAAAGTTAATCAGTTGTCTAGTATCCATAACACAAGCTATGTTTCCCTTGGAACTAGATGGCGCTGTGTGATTTGTCCAGCGACATTATTATTATTATTATTTATCGATACAGAATTTTGGGGCGAAAGTGAGTTAGACAGACAGACAGACAGAGTTATTTCGCTTTTGTAATATTAGTAAGTATTAGTAAAGATAATCATATGTATTACAACAATTATTATATTTCGGTACCTGACCAACGCTACCCTTCGATTGTTGAGCCGTAGTATGGCCATCGATTAGTCAAAACTAGGCTTTCAAGCTATATCTGAACTGTATACATGACCTGATGATGCTTCGTTTAAAGTTCAATACTTACATTATGGACTTTGATCCGATAAAGTTCGGAATTTGATCACAAATATCAAAAGAAAGTTCATATCGCTTCAAGCAGCGATCATTTGAAAAGAATAATAGCTGAGATTCTTGCCAATTCTTCTTAGCTCGAAAGCACTCCGCACAGATGGTAGATTTGACATATCATAAGGGTCTGTAACGGTCGAAATTTGATCACTAATAGGAAAAGTCATAGCTATCGTTTGAAAAGAATAAGAGCTGAGATTCTTGTCTTACTTACTTCTCCTTAGCTGGAAAGCACTCCGAACTGATTGTAGATTTGACATATCAAGAGATTGTAATAGGCCTCTACTTATATCAATATTTGATATGATTTAAAATAATTTCTCAAATCACTGTAATGTAGTGTAATTTTTGCGTGAAAGAGTAACAAACATACATACTTACAAACTTTCGCATTTATAATATTATTAAGAGTAATTCACGTTATCATGTGACCCTGATACCACTCATGCGTTATCATTCCAGATGACTAAGATGTCATGCCTCTTATCCTGTAATTTCACTACCATTTCTTACCCTTCAATCGAAACATTAACACTTAAAGTAAAACAAACAGGTTTTTTTAAAACTTCTTTAATATTTCTGCTATAAATCGCTACTTTTACTGAAATAGTTCGACAACCAACTAGAAAATATTAACTTTACACATTAGAAACAACGATTTCATTGCACTTATTTCTGCATATTTCTGCAATCCTTATTTCTCCAGTCAGTTGTCAAGCCATTTCCACTAATACTGCTACATTGCACAATAAATAACTTATCTCATTAAAATTTTATTCTTAATCAATAAATTATGTACAATTATTCTTAAAATTTATTATTAATTTTTACAATCCGGCAAGATGTTAGCTCTTCGTGTAATTTAGTGACGTAAATCGTTATTTGCGTTTTGCAATATCATTTTTTGTATTTCTTAGATCTTTGTAGTTGTTATGACTGTTTGTAATCACAATGATTATATATGTTATGTTTATTAGCTAATTTATTGTGTTGAATGACGTTCAAAGTACAATAAATAGAATGGATATCGGTAAATCGTAGACTTTTATGATGTTTTGTCGGTTTTAATTATAAAAATCGGTGTTGCGTTTAGTGTATGCATACATCTGTTGTCTATATAACATAATACTTTATGATTGTCATCTGTTCATTTAAAAATATAATTTTTACAATAGTTCATGACTGGGATCGGTCGATTTATTTCGCAGCTCCTTTACAATTAATTCTTGCTCTTAATTCGAGTCAGAGAAGTACAGTACAGTCGCAAATTCGTTATTTCATGTATTTAGCTAAAACAATCTTTTTTTGCTATTTTTAGCAAGTAGAAAAGTAGATACAATATATTATTATATTGTACGTATTTTATCAAAGATAAAGAGCGGAAGTTCTGCGAACTAGTAGAAATAGTTCGCGTAATTACTCTTTGGGAGCGCTCTTCGGAACTAGTTTTTTCGTAAACTGCTCAAGACTGAATTTTGCCATAAAAAATTAAATTAACGAATCCATTTATATTGTGTAAAATAATTTTAATGACACAGATAAAATCACGTACATGTATGTAGACAAAATCAACGTATGATAAACTTTTTAGAGATCGTCGTGGCGTAGTGGTTTACTACCGTGGTACAGTGGTATACACGGCCAAGAACTAGTGAGTTCAAATCTGGCTGACATCAGAAAAAAATCTATGTGTAATTTATATTTCCGACAGTGTTATCAAACCAAAAATTAATCTGAAAGACGGCGGTAGGTTCACCTTTTGCCACGTTGGATTCAAAAATACTTAGCGAAAGGTCATGTCCAGTGTTGCGTTGATCACAACAACAACAGGTCTTTTACCCATAAGAGGAGTCAGAGGCATCGTCGCCTCTGACTCCCCTTATGGGTAAAAGTCGTGACTATCTTTTTGTATTGTGTAAAATATTTGTAATGACCTGTAATGTAATGTCCGTCATACTCGTGAACTAGTCTGTTCGGGTTACGAACACTGATTATTATTTGCTTTTGACAAAATAGCATAAGTTGGTAGTCACTCTATTCTCCCAAATTTGAAATTAAAATGTATTTGTATTATTATAACCATATTCGAGACGAATAAGAGCAGAATTTCTTGTCAGTTCTTCTCATCTACAAATAATTCCGAACTGACGGTAGATTTGACATATCATAAGAGTCTGTAATAGATCTACATGAATAATGTTGTATTTGCATTAAATTGAAAAATTTAAATGACACAGATGAAATCACAGAAGTTGTAGATGAAACAAAAAAAGGGTTTATTAAACTTTATAATGGATACTACAATTAAAACTATATAACACATAGCCAGTTGACGTTCAACAGTTATAATTATAAACAATTATTGTTAATAACAAAACGCTGTACACATATGACCGCAGACTTTGCAAAGTTCATTTTAGTATAGTATTTTTAAATCGCGTGCTTCCAAATGAAACACGAACGGAGAATTTTAAAGAGTCAAGAAACTTATTTAATTTTGATGAATAAAATTAAATTGTTGAACGGAAAAAAACTATCTCCATAAACCTAGTTGCAGTATAAGTAATTTTGTATAAAGAGGATGACAAACTCCTGAATTGTTGACCCGCGGTGGAAATCGGGAGAAATCTCGTAAGAATATTAAGATTTATTTGCTTTAAATGTGATTTTAAAACAATTATATGGCGTCTTTGAGTAGGACGAAAAATGTACATACATATTTAGTCTTATTCAAATCCATCATTTTGCTTTGAAAACTTTGTTACATCTGTGGTCATAATAGAAAAACCATATTCACATACCACAACTATAGTTGAAGATGAATGTACAACCACCCAATCTTGACATCTTACAACCAATGACTTTCCATATTCATATATTACACTTCACATTTCTAACATAACTGGTGGCATCTCATAATTTTGAAATCCTTCACAAAAGTCTAAATTATCTGACAGTCTTTCTTCCATTAGCATCTATTCTGCTGTTCCCTTTCTCTTGCCTTCATTTCTAACTCTTCTTCTTCTCTTGTCAAAGGAACTGTGCTGTGGTTGTACAGACCTTGCGCCATCAGCTGCAAGGCCAACGGGTTCCGTTGTCCTGATGCCTTCTTGATCTTGGCGCGTTTGTTCTGGAACCAGATCTTGATCTGGGCCTCCGCGAGGCCAAGCTCCGCGGCCAGGGACTGTCGCCGACGCTCCGTCAGGTAACGGTTCTCGGCGAATTCATGCTGTTGGAAGAAATGTATTTAAATAAAACTAACTAAACAAATATATTCAGGACTATGCAGATTGAGTTGAGTTAGAAACTACACTAGTCGATTGATAGGTGCCGTTGTAAACAATGTAGCACTTCAATCAATCAATCAAATCATTTATCTACAGAATATAGAGCTTAAAAGTTTTAACAATATTAAACGTTATGTCCCGTGTATTCAGCATACATACAAGCGTACAATTTTTTTAATTAAGTACTACATTGTTTGTTTATTGAAATTTCACCACATTTCTGAGATTATATTTGAAGATATTGTTTGTTTCGACGTTTAAATTTTAATTTAATAAACAACACGTGCTATGATAACAACATTATCTCTAACATATCTTCTCCATAATTCTTTTGTAAAAATTGACAAGAAAATGCGAATTTCTTACCTTTAGTCTTGCAAGTTGAGGTCCAGAGAATGCGGTTCTAGGTCGTTTCTCATCTGTCGGGCCCCCTGTCTCCCCGGGCGGTTTCTTCGGCCGTCTGGTACGCGGACCTGAATGTATAACACTAGGTTAGATACATGTGTTTTAACCGACTTCAAAAAAAGGGAGATACACCGCGTTAGATTATGGAATGAACCAATATTTTCTTGAGAGACTACAGCATGGGGTTTTTCACAAAAAGTATACTAATGTTTCAGGCGTCCATAAGCTAGGCCGTATGCTTGTTTGCAATTACGTAGTATATTTAAAAATATACTCAATTCGACTCTCTATCTCAGTACTCTAGTTGGAAGTTTGTATTCACACATTTCAACTTAAAAATGTAGTTACAACAGTAATTTAAAAGACTAACACGCAATAATTTTTAAATCTTGTGATAAGACAGCTTTCCGACTGAGCGGTAGATTAAAAAAATAAGTATGATTATTCAAAAGCGCTTAAATTTAAGTTTAATTTAACAGAATTTTTTATTCCATTCTTATTGTAACGGATTCAATTCAAAGCTGGTTTGTACATATATATACATACATACAATAACTGATTTATTTTGTTACTTGAGTAACTACTTATTTACTTATATCAAATTTGACATTTGGCAGTTTGTATTCACACAAAGTACTCTCAATAAAGAAGAATTTTAAACAATATTTAATATGGAATAGAATACCTGTAAACATGCGTAGAGCATCGAGTGAGCCCATTTTTAAAAAGAAATTATTTAATTTTCTTTTGAATCACCAAAATGAATTATAACTGTATTGCATTGTATTAGTATTATATTTATCTATATTTAACATTAATGTATGACATTATATAATATCAGGTATACTATATATATTATTATTTGTATATATTGTGTAGATGCACATGCATTGCATGCATGTCACGTGTCCAATAATATCCGTATGGATATTATTATTATTTATTTAGTAATTTGTTAAATTTTTATTTCATTATGTTGTGGTATTGTTATCTAGCACGTGTGATTAAGTACGCCTGCGTAGGTACAAACTGAAAACCAGCGCTGGACGCCCATCAGTCCGGCAATAGCTGAGTTTGTACCTATTGCCAATCATGTTAAATATGTATAAATGTGTAGCTGTGTAACTGTGCTGATGTTGGCAATAAATGGATTTATTATTATTATTATTATTATTATTATTATATTTATTTGCATTTCATATATATTATATAATATATATTAGTAACTTTGTGATTGTTTTTTGACATAACTGCCCCACAACGCTTTCTGTATACCTAAAGGTTAGCTGGTGGAGAATGACATATGGCATTAAGCTCGCCTTTGTACAAGTTTTATTGTGCATTAAAGAATAAATGAATAAATAAATAAATATTTATTTAAAAGTGCAGCACGCAAGATTCCTAATAAATTCTTGTGACGAGTCTACGTTCCGAATGAGGGATAGAATTGTAAAAGTAAGACTGTTCAAAAATGCTTATATTAAGTTTATTTGAATAAGATTATTTTTATTCCTATTCTATTTCTGACCATTAATAATTACGGGTGTACGTTTATTATATATATAAACCTTTCTCTTGAATCACTCTATCTATTAAAAAACCGTTTCAAAATCCGTTGCATAGTTTTTAAGATGTAAGCATACATAGGGACGGACAGACAGCGAGAGCGACTTTGTTTTATACTATATAATGATTATTATTTCATATGTATGTCAGTCTGTAAGGTATTTTTAGTATGGGCTATTAGTATTCTTAATGAAATAAAAAATAAGTAAAAATTAATGAAAATAGGTAGATGTCAGAACGTCTTTTATTGCAGAGCGCAGTGACAGAAGTATTATAACAAAAAATTATAAAAAGAACATCATATTTTGAATATGGATAAAAGAATATATAAAAACTGCCAGTGACTCTCATTGTAGGTCTAACAAAATAGGCTACGGTAAGCGTTTACTATTAGAAGGGCCGTATGCTCGTTTGCCACCTACGTAGTGTAAAAAAACTTGTAAATTTTCCTAAATAAGACAGTATGGGACACAGTCACCTAGATACATCAAAATAATAATTGCATTTTATAATATCTAGTAAGACAAACTCAATATTGTGTACTAAGCACTGCTGTGTCTAAACTGTGTCACCCCACCCTACATTTTCCTATAGTTATTTAGTATATAAGATCATTATTTCTATATACATATTGTCAGTTTATTATCATCTGTAATATACATCGTCTCGACCAACAATATAATAACATTTACCCACAACAGACAGTACAAATACGTCTAAGACAGCGCAGATAGCAATATTAGTACATAGTTTAATATTTTTCTACTTTTAGCGGTCGGTAATTGATTAATTTATATGGCAAAACAATTCTTGCCGGGTCACCTACTTGTACTATACCTATTAGCTTAATTTATTATTTATTCTTCACTACATATTATAAAACAAAGTCGCTGTCGCTGTCTGTCCGTCTCTATGTATGCTTAAATCTCTAAAACTACGCAACGGATTTTGAAGCGGTTTTTTTTATAATAATAGATAGAGTGATTCATGAGGAAGGTTTTATGTATAATACATGTACATCCGGGCGAAGCCGGGGCGAGTAGCTAGTTATATATAATTTACAAACCTACATTCTTTCGAATGAAATGGATACTTTGTAGAGTTTTTGTTGGTTATATACAAGTGTGAGTTTATGTATGTGTTTTGTTGTATCTATCCATTATGTGTGTTGTTATGTCCATTGTTGTAGCCCATCTATGACTACTGTGTTTTAAAAATCATCTTTATATTACATGTAATTAGTAGTTTTGTGGACAAAACTGTATTTGTAGGTATTTTTCAATTTTCATTTATAATTATAAATCTTTATTATATTTAAATATAAGCCTTGCAATTAACAATAGAAATCATATAAATTACAAAATAAATCAAAGCAATAATAAAATATACACAAACACATAATAACACACAAATTGCAAAATAAAGAACACATAGGTAGTTAACAACACAAAATGGTATAATAATTACAAAATCATATTATGAACAGGCACAAACACAAAATGCAAAATGGAAACAGATGAGCAGAAATACAATAAATGCAAACAAAGAAACGAAATACAGTAATACACTTTACGCCGTTAGTGGGACTGAGCCATTACCCCGTAAGTCGAATTCCCGAAAGTTACATTCTATATAATAATGTAGTAATTTGGTTTAATTAGGACTAGAGCCTATAAAAATTATAAATTACAAGATCGGTCTGTCATAATCATTAAATGTTTAGTGTTTTTTATTTTCCTTTTTTCTTTTCTTACAATTATTTGCACTTGTGTGACCAATATACCATTTCCTGTTTCTCTTTTAAGTTGAGTGGAAGAGATCTCTTTTAGAGATAAGTCCTCTTTTGCTAACAATATTTCAAATATTTAATTTACTTATGTATTTTAAAGGTGCAATAAGGGATATACCTACAGAAAACAGATTGACTTGGTTGGTGATAGATCGATAATTTTTTTTATTTACCAATTACACAATATTCTAAAGTAATGTTGAAATGGGTAGTCAGCGGGACTAGTATAAGCGCCATACAATCGTCATTAGATATTAGTCGCTACATTGCAGTAAGCACAGGATATGTCTGTGAGAAGCACTAACATGAAACACTAACAGTAATTGCACATGGCACTCCAAATCTGCGAGAGAGCATATGAAGCGGCTGAAAGCCAACTCCTGCCTTACGGATACGACTTTAGTCTGAGGGCTAGACTAGGCTATGATTGTCATAATTTCGATACCCGTTTGAATTTTGATAAGGGATCGATCGGTGGTGTAGATTATCCCTGACGAGTCTAAGTAGCGAACATAGAGTAAGAGCGAGCGCAAAAGATCTATACAAGTCGCAATGCTACAGATCTTAGCCCAAAAGCCCTAAAAAAAATAGGGATCCGAAGTTCGACTCAGGCTAAATTGCGATCCCAACGTATCTTCGCGTAATCTGGGTATTACTGTACTCGAGTAGATTAAGTGCTCCCACGATGAATGACCGGTGCAAGCAAACGATGCAATATCTTAACCAATTCATTCCAGCGTTTACATACAAACGCAGACATGATTCACATAAAATTGGTCAAAATATTGCACCGTATGCCTGACGGTGATGATTCTCTGGTGTCCTGCAAAGTAATGAGTTAATAGCAAAAACAATGTACGAACACAAGCTTTCAAATCCGCCATATTGGATTTTGAGTGACACAATTGAAAGAAAGAATAAAAAATATATTCATTTGGTGCATACAAAACATTCATATCACATATTATTATTTTATATTTATTTTAATTATTATTTTCACGTACCCTCAAATGGGTTGAAGCTGAAAATCAGTGTTTTGTTCCCTGAACAATGTTCCACGCTGAGTTTGACCTGTTTGTATTGCTACAGATCACACATAATAACAATTTTTTAAATCTTATGTCGTATTATGTATTGTCTATTCTTATGAACATGTTGTGTGTGATTAGTAACAAACAAATAAACGATATATCTATCTATCTATTACAAAAAATTGTAATGTTATATTTTAGTAATGTATATATAATACTACGTTAAATGGTATATAAAAAAATTGTAATTAATTATTTTTAAAATACAGCTGCGACCAAATTTGTGACCAGCTTTGTGTCTAGGCTGTAATGCCTAAACGCTGATTTTCAGTGGAACCATTTATTAATTAATTTAATATATATAAATTGTTTACTGCTGCCTGCGTGAACGTGTTCTGTTGGTGGTACTGATAAGGTGTAAATGTATCTTCTGATAAATGATGGACAAACTACATAGGTAAAACAATACAGTATGGACAGTAATTTTGTTCATAAATCGTCGTCTGTAGAGTCTTCTGCCACTTATTTGTGAGTTCTGGTCTACTGAGATACAAGCTTCGTGCCTAGGTCAGTTCGCTCATACACAGTTCTCCAGATCAATTATGGATTCTAAAGTCATTCTAAATCGAATCCTTATCTCTGAGGGATATAAAAAATAGACTGAATTTTTCTCAGACCTACC